CATGGATGTGACACGGGTGTGTCAAGTCATGATTTGGTGTGTCTAACAATTTATGGGGTGTGTCACTTTTCCTCAGTAGGTGCATCACAATCTGTGAAAGGTGAGTTAAAAATGTTGCCAAAAAGCATCAAACGTATACATTTGGTGCATCGTACTGTGCCACCCTCGGTGTGTAGATTCCACAAAAGGATGACCCACTGAACATTGGACAATTACACACCATTCCTGGAGGGGAAGGGGAAGGGGAGGGGGGTCACAAGGTGAGTTACATGGTGCATTACATGGACAGCCAATACGAATACATGTACAACTACATCAATTTAAAGCTTAATTAGCCATCGTTTATTTTCAGTTCAATTTTTGTGGGGTTGACAGATAACTTTTAGGCAATTTTTCCCTCAAAAGATGACCACCCCTAAAAAGCGGTCTTGGAAGCCCATTGCCATTTTGAAAACGATCTGTACACTCCATTGCAAAATAGAGCGACTTTTTTTTACCAATTTCGTCCATATTTACTCAGCAATTGAAGTTCCCAGTCTGGATCAGACCTCTTAAGCCTTACTTGCTACAGTACCTTACATGTAAGTGCGAGGGCCACACATTTCTCTATTAACCCTCCTATGCATTGCAAACATACATTCTGTGCCAAGTTGTCCTTTCAGTCAAAATCAATCAAGTGACTGGTTTCAACAGTCAAGAGCTCCCATCATGCATAAAGCAGGATTGACTGGCTGCGACTGTTTATGTAATTTGATGTCTGTATGCTACCGGTATGTTTATGTCTGTTGACTGAATTTGATTAGTTACAGTGCTTGCTTGAATGATCTGACTGTTGTGTAAAAGGCATGGCAGGGGAAGAGGATTAAGTATTTGACTGTCTGTGACATTTAGAAAGCAGGAGGGTAGAAAATGTATGGCTTGCAGCTGGTGATTTGGTCAGTGTAGTCAATTTTTGAGCCTGTTTACTGGTCTGCAGCCCAAACTCACGAGTGCTCCTTTAAAATGTCTGTGTGATGCGCAGTGTCTGCACGCACGCACACAAGATGAGCCACTCGGTAAGGCTCTGCAGTGCTGATGTGGCGGCCGTACAACCAATGACTAAAATGTTACACATCATTAACCAATATCTTTCCAGCCTGTACCTTGGTCGTCCTGCCAGCGGACGCTACAGAGAGCAGAAATGGCCGACGTGCTTCATTTAACACAGTTAGAATCTTTCTCAGATATGGGGGAGCGATATTGGAAATGTCAGCAAAATGTCATTACAACATGGCTGCATACATATCAGGCGAAGGGAAGCATAAAGAACAATTTCTCTTGGGCAAATTCAAATTTGATTTTAATTTACTGTATTTGTTTTCCAAAAATGAAAGCATGTTTATGTAAGTCGAGTCAACCACTGCAACAGATGCAATGTGTGCGATTATGCATGGATTTTGCGGCAGCGTTCAGAATGGCATATATTCAGTACTTAATTATGCATGCCTTTTGCTCTGTAAATTTCGCAATATGTTGATACGCGTGTCATTACAGCAGTAAAAATATCAGGCAAAAATTGGCATGCAGAACTCGCCCAACGTTTTAGGGGGAAGGGTCGGTAAAAAAATTGAACAATTTCCGATCAGCCGATTTTCATAAATTCTTGAATTTGTAGGAATTTTTCAGAAATCTTGTCAGTGTTTTATATGCTTAGTTTCTAATACTTTTTATGTGTCAATCCTGCATAGAACCATGACTTATGGACAGACTGAAAGTCGAACACATTTCTACATTGTGACAAATCTGTGTGACAATAGTTAAAACAAAACACAATTCGGGAGCATTATCAATTTTGTAGTGTTATGAAGTTTCATAAACCGATAGCTGTTAGTTTTAACATCGGAAGAGTCAATATTTTGATTAACCAATTCTGATTTTTTATTCCATTTTGGAACCGTCAACTATTTCATTTTCCGCTGTCAATTAAATTGTGCTGATTTCCAGTTCTTTGACTACCATTTTTGGACAAGCAGTTGCTGTCAACCAGGGAGCCGTTCATGACAGTCTCATAATACAAAATGTCTGTGCACGTGATCTACAAGTGCAGTTAGGTATGCTCTTGCATCGTCATTTATCACTAACTGCTGTTATATCCATTAGCCCAGTAAGGTTGTGTCTTCTAGATCCCTTAACATTTGTCAAAGGGCCAATGACATTTAAGTGATGAAAACATTCCAAAGCAAGGGTCTTCACCACCTAAGCAGGCTCAACTAAGCATACATGATGAGGAGCACATATAGGTTAGGTGTTTACATGAAACATCTGGGTTTGTGTGCAGGTTTGTAGACAGGAAAAATAGAGACGAAATCAATATTAAAGTGAATGAAATATTCGTCCTTGATTGCATTTGGCAGCTATCTTTGAGGTGTGTTTTGTTATGTTAATTTGTTTACAATGAATGCCCAAGAGGTCTACTCAGGCGTATCACTGTTTGAACAAAAGCACACACCTCAAACATGGCTGCAGTGCACACAGTCTATTGGTAACTGTGAATGTCCCTATCACACTGTATACTGCGCTGTGACAATATTATAAATTAATGCATCATATTTATAGTTGTCATACTCCATAGAAAATGCACAAATAGTGCCATGTGGCAGACTGTGACGGTTCGTACGTGCTGACGGAAATTCACCGCAGAATGCAGGCGGTACCCTGTATCTTGTTACCATTGAGAACAGATTATATTTGTGTACGATTGCTCCATGACACAAACATGGCTGTGCCCTGTAAAACTGCACTTAAAGAGTTCATGTATCCGTGTCTGTCCATTCTCTGTTTTTTCTTAACACACACGTCTTAGTTGGAAAAGGTCTTCGCGGTTGACACAGAGTCCGCACTAATGTTGTGTGGCAATGGGGTTTTTTTTCCGTGTCATGCATGTTTATTCATAACGATTGGCCATCACTTTTCCTGGTACGGTACATGTTATTTCAGAATGATTAATATACCAGGTACACGTACAAATGTACACATTGATGTCTCCACAAAGGTGTACATGTATTTAATAATGTCATACTATACGGTGTAAAGTACGGTACAGCTACATGTACATACATTGTAGTATTCAGAGTCACAAAGGTTATGTGGCAACTTGTGTTTGATTCATTTTCACGGACTGCTGGTTTTCTGCGTAAGTATGGGCATGCGCATAATGCTTTTGGTCCATTGCTTTGGAACTAAAATAGTCTCCGAAGAGCTTTGCAATTTGTCACTGAACCTTATGATTTCAAAATGGTTGTAAAGTGCATGTACTTGTACACACTTAGGAAATCAACTTAAATGCATTCCAAACGTAGATGTTATGTGTAGCAATACAGTCTTATTGATGTATATGATCCATCACTTCTTTGGCAGTTTAAGACATTCAACTGAAATCTTGGTTCTTTAAAAAAAACATGGATTGTTTTGTTCAAGTATAGACTTTATTCAGGAGTCGGCCATAATTGAAAGCGAGGTAAAAGCTTCATTTTTGGAACTTGCAATTATAGAAGTGAAAGCAATGGCATAAAGTTAATTACAAATTAATACCAGTCTGCTCTGATGAATAATTTGAAATTTGTGATTAAACATACCCTAATGTTTTAAGCCACATTAAAAAAAAAAGGAAAGTGAGTTTGGAACGCATAAATTGTCACCATCCCATAAATGGCACCATCCCATTCAACAGTTAATTATTTATAAAATACATTCAGGGAACATGACCAAAAATGACTTCCTCGTGAATAGAGTGTGTATATGTAGGGACCGTGGGGCAAGAAGCATTTATGCACACAAAAACCCAGAGTGGAGGACATGAAATGGGAACAGTTCAGATTGCGATTCCTGTCATTCTACCTACAGTGCATCATGGGAGAAAGATGACATCCATTCAAAGACATTTCAAATCACTACTGGTTTTGTACGAAGTGGAAAAAAACTTTTCCATTTTCCAGTTTTTTGGGGGGTTATTTTTTAGTTTGAGCGTTTTTTTTCCAATAAATAACATTTTTATTGATGAGACTTGTGAATACAATCTGTGTGTGTGCTATGCTGCATATGCACTGTAAACAATTACACACAGATGATTAAGTGTCAATAATTAATGCAAGGAGTTGACCTTGATGTTGACGAGGCTCTTTTATGCAGATGGTCGATAGTGCGCTGTTTTCAATAACCCACAAATTCGTGTTCAGTGTTATAAAAATTGTTTTCATGAGTCGCTGTGCAGTTACATGTACCGGGTACATGCAGACAATGATCACTGATAATGTGGAACTGAACCGTTCATTTGGAGGAAAATCGTGTGAAATGTTATTGTTGATTAATCATACGTGTATAGGGACAGTTACTGTGCTTATACATGCTGTACAGTATACTAACTCCTAATTTTCATGGGGACTCATACATGTACATACACAGTACATGTATGCTAATTTACAGTTCTGCCAGCAGAATACATGTTTAACATGCCCCCTACCCCATCCCCACACCACACCACCATCCGCCACCCCACTTCACTATCCCCCAGCCCACCATCCCCCACCCCACCCAATCCCACCCCACCCTACCCCTTCTCATCCCACCCTACCCTACCCCATCCCACCCCATCCCACCCATCCCATCCCATCCCATCCCATCCCATCCCATCCCATCCCATCCCACCCCACCCCACCCCACCCCACCCTACCCCCTCCCATCCCACCCCACCCCACCCCACCCCAACCCATCCCACCCCACCCCACCCCATCCCACCCCACCCCACCCCATCCCATCCCATCCGACCCTACCCCATCCCACCCCACCCTACCCCATCCCACCCCATTCCATCCCATCCCACCTCACCCCACCCCATTCAACCCCATCCCACCCCACCCCACCCCACCATCTCCAAAAGAAATCTCGCAATAAAACCGTTGAAAATAAAAACTTTAATATCTCACCTACATGTATTTGTGATTTCTTTTCTTTTTACTCTGCAGTGTGTGTTGTATCTTTGGTCGTTAAAGTTGCTCTACCGCGACACATTTTTTCTGTTGCGGGGCAACCACGAGTGCCGGCATCTCACAGAGTATTTCACATTCAAGCAGGAGTGTAAGTACCAGTCAGGAATTGTAGAGAGAGGGGGTGGGGCAAAGAGAAGTGGGGGGGGGGGGAGATTTCCAAGCATCCTTGTGGTAATGGTCTTGGGTTCTGCATACATGCACAAATACAATGTCCTGCAAATACAATGTCCTGCAAAACGTCATTTATGATGACCAGATTTGAGTCTTTTCATTTTGAGTCTTTTCATACTCCACTGTCTTGTGCAACATTTTCTTCAGATACCCTGTTAAATGCAACAAAATCCAATACAGTTGAAGTGAGAACCCTGCTAAATGCAACCAAATGCAACAGTGGATTCTGTTGCTTTGCGCTATGAACCCTGTGTACATCGGCCTTGGCACTAAGCAGTTACCCTGTTAAATGCAACCAAATGCAGAGTGGTTTCTGTTGCATTGCGCTGTGAACCCAGTGAACATCAGCCTTGGCACTATGCACTTTGTATCCTGCTAGGTGTTACCAAGTGCAACAGTGGATTTTTCTGTAGCACCTTGGCACTATGAGCAGATACCCTGCCAAGTCCAACAAGATGCAACAAGGCATGGGACTATGCAACAAGGCATGGGACTATGCAACAAGGCATGGGACTATGCAACAAGGCATGGGACTATGCAACAAGGCATGGGACCATGCAACAAATTTTTCTCACTGTTACTTTCCGTTGGATTTAGCGGAGGGGGGGGGGATTTAGTTTTTGTTGTCACTAAATCCGAGTGCAATTCGGCAGAAAATTAAGCGCGGGCAGAATACAGTGCATGACATTTTGCTCGTAACATGTAGCATTTCGCAGTCACTGAACAGACAAGTATAGTCCCACTCCTCTGGGAAATTGAAGAGTTTGTGTCCTCTCGGTTTTATTCTAAAGCCTGTTGCCAAACACTTTAAGGCGTGGGCAGTAATGGTCCGCCTACAGACCATTTTACAGCCACTGAACCTTGAATATTTCTGATGCAAAGCCAGCTTACATTTGCCAAATTAGTTAAAATGAGAAGTGTATTTTTTCGCATCATCGCATGCAGAAACTCCATAAGATGCTATTTCATGTTTCACCGTGATGTTTGTTCAATCGTGGTCATTGATCTTCTTATATGAAACTATAACTATTATCTTTCAACTATTACATTATATCTTATAGTAAACAAAAAAATGGTTGGAAAAAAATTGGATGTTCTGGTTATTGTCGAAAGAAACAATTTTGTTGCTGTTTAGATTTAGATAAGAAATAGGTATCTAGTGTTTGTCAATGACACAACAAACTGATTGGACAGCAGATTGTCTGTGGCTGTTTTTAGTTGACATCAACTAAGTGATACATAATGAAGGTGATATTCTTTCTCTTATTGCAATACCCTGACTATTTCTTCTTAACTGTTGGCTCTCTGGAAAACATTAAGCTTTTACCTGCCTGGTAGCAAAACTTTGGTGAATGGTTTTTATATTGGTCTTAATTTATGTCCCCACTTTTTTTGCAGGTAAAATAAAGTATACAGAAAGAGTGTACAACGCGTGTATGGAAGCATTCGACTGCCTGCCACTTGCAGCTCTTATGAATCAACAGTTCCTGTGCGTGCACGGAGGCTTATCACCTGAAATACATACGCTGGATGACATCAGAAATGTAAGCTACTGCAATTTGGATCTCTTAATATCCTGACATACCAGAACATTGCAGCAACCTGTTCCATCAAGGACCATTAGTCAACTAGTGGTTGATTTGTGATGTAACTAATGCATGCGCACAAGCAGCAACATGCGAACGTCTCCATCCAAACTCTGGTCAAAACGTTGTCACGAAACATCGTAATCCTGGCTCCCTGCTGTGTATTATTATAATACGAGCAGCTAGTGGTAACCAATGATGAAACCGCGCCACATCGTCTGGTTCCAAATAGTTGATCAAAGTAGTCCAACCATCCTTTGGTTGAGTGAAGTTACGCGAACTATGGATAACCATAGTCCCCAAATTTGCTTCTTCCGTAGCTTAAAAGTGTTATTAAATGTGTAGCGCTGTGATACAATGGTTACGGTGTTCGACTCACGTGGGTTCGAACCCTGACGGGGGAACATGGTGCTGTGTTCTTAGGCAAGACACTTTACTACATATGCCTCTTTGCACCCAGGAGTATAAATGGGTACCTGTGAAAGTAGAGGCCAGAATGCGCTGATATCGAGCTGCTGCAAAACCTGGTCTCATGGCCTGATGATCAGGGGTAATAAAAATGTTGACTAAATTAAAGTTGGTTTTCTAACCCTTTGTATCCCACAGCTGGATCGGTTCAAGGAGCCACCAGCCTTCGGACCGATGTGCGACATCCTGTGGTCAGACCCACTGGAGGAATTTGGCCAGGAACACACGTCAGAGCACTTCAGTCATAACTCAGTCAGAGGCTGCTCCTACTTCTACAGGTCAGGTCATAGGTTAAAAGGTCAAGCTGTAGTGGGCCAAACCTGTGGCAGGTCACCACCTATGGATGAATCGGGCACGTGATCATCGTACACTCACCAGGCTCCCTTCAATGGAGAAATCTTTGTGCACGCTATTGTTCAGAGCAACTTCCCCGTGACAGATTATCTGAAGAATAGCTAGCACAATGCTTTCGCCATTGAAGGGGGCCTACGTGACAATGGTCACAGCGTTCCTGGATTGATCTATATTGACAAATGTATATTGAAGCCAAGAAATCACTTTGAATGAAGTGGTGTGATGTCAAGTCAATTGAAATTTAGTGCACACTTGTGCCCATACTTACATGTAAATCAGAGAGTTAGAAACCCTGCATGAATACACCATGAATACACTAATTAGGCCCTGCCCACAGCGCACGTGTGCAACAAATACCGGGTATGCCGTTCCAATGCCATACTGTGCATGTCCCAGCCGCATGCGTCATGCACTCATGCACGGAAGACATCTTCTCAAGCATGTTGGACGTTTTTTTAGTCACAGCTGTAATTGGTCAAAGCTGTAATTGGTGGGGGGAAATATACTTGCATGTGAAACTGGATAAAATGGAAACCTATCTTAAAGTTTGAAGTTGGAAATTGGATTTGCCTTTTGTTTGTACAGCTACCCAGCCTGCTGTGAGTTCCTACAACAGAACAACCTTCTGTCCATCATACGGGCACATGAAGCACAGGATGCAGGGTAAGTGCATTATGGGATACGCCGCCTACAGTTCGTAGCGCACTTTCTTTTCTTTTTTCTGCTGAGCCCATTGCTATAATTACATGTATAATGAAACCAAGGATTCCTCAAAAGCACCCTAGGCACTGTAGCTCGCAAACCTGAAGAAACCTATAGAGAGAAGACAATGAGAAGAAATTACAGTTTTAGAGGTGGGAGGAAAACCCCAGGAGAATATTCTGGGGGAAGCCACGGAATCAAGTAGGGACTGAAACCCCAATCCACATGTGGACCAGGGTAGGAATTGAACCCGGGTCACAGCGGTGGAAGGTGATGAGAAAACCGCTCCTACAGCCGGACTCCCCATCAGGGTAGTTGTTCACCCTTATGAACGCAGTATCAGTTAATGTGCCTATGCAGTAGCACAAGCTTCATCCTTTTTGCTTGTCCAAGTGGAGCCAGCCTATAGTCCATGTACCTGACGGACGGACTGATTGATTGACTGACTGACATTTGTGGCTTAGCCTAGTTGTTTGCTGGTGAACATAGCCAGGCAGTGCTATTGTATAGGATGACCCGTAACCGACGAAATCCAGTCCATTGTGTGAACCAAATGCATGAAACGACTTCCAGTGAAGAGCCATTCGGAATCACTTCAATAGAATTGTATGCGCTTTGAACCAGCTTTAGGCTTGCCTTGTTTTGTTTTTCTGGAGTGTACAAAAACATGAGCAGGCGACATATTACTTATATAGGACCCTCACCCTTACCATGATTATAGCACTTTGACTGGTAGAGTCTGGCATGCAGCCAGTATCAATCACCCAATCAATCATAACTGCACTAGGTGATCAGCAATCAATGCAAAGTGTCTTGCCCGAGGACACAAGTTTGGCTGGTACCCACTACCTTATCCCATGGGGTAGGTACCGGCAAATTTCTATCTTGAAGAAATGTGAAGGAAGTTCAGGGTTGAAACTGACAGTCACTCTGTCCTCCACAACCTTCTACTGGTGGTAAACCCTGTGGAATTTATATACATTTATTTTTTATTTGAAGTGGGTAGCCCATTCAGTGGAATCCACTGGTCTCCCATGAGGCCCAGTAAAGAGAAGACAATGTGAAAAATTACTGTTTTGCACGTGGGAGGCAAACCGCAGAAGAATATTCTGGGGGAAACCCACAGAATCAGGTAGGGACTGAAAACCCCATCCACATATTGGCCCAGGCGGTATTTGAATCCGGGTCACAGCGGTGGAGGGTGAAGAAAGTACCACTACACCAACGTGAGTTATTGCAGGCCACATAATCCACCCTCTAATTACCAAGCAAATATGCTCAGCTCTCGAGTAGTGCTGCTAATTAAACATTTAGAAGAGGCTCCCATCACCAAATGCTGTCCTCGGGACGGGAATTTATTACTTTGCATTTTGTCACGGACTGACACATTACAGTGTTCTGATGAACATGTAAGTCTTGTGATGATGATGTGTAAATTGATAGTGTCACACCGTGGTGACTATCTTGGCTACCTGCTTCACTCATGTGCTTTCCCAAAAATTTTGTCAAAATATGTTTTGGAGAAAGACATAAATTATTTTTGTCCTTGCAATTTTAGAATTGTATTGATTTAACATAATGTTCAAAATGTAACAGCTATCATGCATGATGTGTTGCCAAGACAACCAATGACATTTTGGAGTCGACTATCCAATGATTGAATCTTTATTCCTTGGCAATAAATAATACTGGGAATTTTTTTATTTTATTTATATTTTTTTTTGGAGTGAGGGCCCTATCTTGTCAAATTATGTATTTCATTTCTGGTTTGATGTAATTTATAGCCAACTCTCTGTTCGGATGACATGAAAGTGTTAACAGTATGCAAAAGCCCGTCCGTAACCTCATTAATATGCTAATTGCTTTTGCCAACTGACCGAGTCCATGGAGGCTGCTTTGATATTCGGTCGTTAGTGATATTGGTTGTTGATGCCTTTCTATATTTGTGTCATGCATTCCGTTGAAACGCCAGCAGGTTTGAGTCAATCTTTACTCTGTACACCTTTGTTAAGCATTGTTTGCAAAGGTAGCGATTGGAGTCAACCCCTCGGGAATTCGAAGGGCAGACACAGTGGAAAAAAATATGATTGGTTCTTGATTCAGATTGGCCAATGGAAGGATTATTCCAGCTGTACTTTTTCACTTTTTCTGAAAATAATACATCCTTTGCCTTGTGCAATGAAATTGGAAAATGTTCACGAAAAAAAAAAAGACTGCTTTTAATTTTTGTTGCTTCTGTGCCAATGTTTTTATTTATTTCTGGTAATGAAACCAAGGATTCCTCAAAAGCTCACGGACACTGTAGCTCACAAGCCTGAAGAAACCTGTAGAGAGAAGACAATGAGAAAAAATGACAGTTTTATAGGTGGGAGGAAAACCCCAGAAGAATGTTCTGGGGAAACCCACGGAATCAGTTAGGGACCGAAAACCCAATCCACATGTTGGCCCAGGCGGGATTCGAACCCAGGTCACAGCCGGGTCACAGCGGTGGAAGGCGAGGAAAGTACCACCGTGCCAACCTGACTCCCCTAATAACACACAAAAGATATGCCTCGAGTAACGTTGGGCAGCAAATATCAGTAATTTGGAAATTGTCAAGTAATTCTTCCATAATTAAATTAGTTTTTTTGTTTGTTCAAAGTCGCATTCCAAAGTGAACAACTTTTGTATTCCTGGAAAAATAGCAATTTCAAAATAAATCCATTTCTCGGGGTGAAACTTAAACAAAAATAATGCAGGGAGAGCAACTCTAAACATATCGATGAAAGAACTTCACATTCTGGTAGGTTTTTGCAAAAATTGCCCGAGTTTGTTTGTTTTTGCAGCCACACGTTTAGCATATCCAAGTCAAATGAGAATTGTTTTTTTGTGTTGATCAAGAAATTGTGCATGTGTACTTCTGTGCATGCATCTGAGTTCATTGTTTAAAGATGACCCAACGTATCTTGACGTTTAGAGCGACACCAAGCAACTAGAGATTTATTGATGATTGGATGATGTATGGCGACAGTGGTTCGCTAGCACATTACTTCACACACCATCAATCCCATGAGCAGCCATGCACAAAGAAAAGCGTGTTACTTGTCAACAGTTCGACATTAAAGCCAATCTCTCATTAATTAGCCCACAACTCGTGTAGCAGCCAAAAGGATATTGGCTAGAATGTACATGTACATAGCAACCTTATGGGCGGGTTGTGAAATAGTGGCCATGTAGAAAGAAGATGTTTTGTTCCTTGTCGTTTGATATTAACAGGGACGGTATAATTTCTTCACTCTTTTTTAATTACAGGAACCGGGCCGGTCAGCTTACAGATTACAAACCTACATGTACATCTTGGATTTTGTATTGATAGATTTTAGCATTTTAAGAGCTAGAAAGTAAAAGGCAATTTGCAATTGGGTTTGAGCATAGATGCAAATTTCGTGAGTTATTTAGATCACTCATAATGAGCAATAACATCTTGAAGTAACATCTTCAAGATTCTTCAAGGAATACTTTGGTATCCGACATGTACATCGTACCATTGGAAGTGTGTACTGTAAATCAACAACATATTTACACACTGGTCAAAAAATTGTATAAATAGAATTCTCCAGCAACTGATCCTCCAAAAACAGACCCTTCAACAACTGGAAAAAATCTGTTACAAAGAGTGGAGTGTAGGGTTTTTTTGAGAAAAAAATTGTAATTGATATAATGGCAAATAATCCAAATTTCAACCTGTCAACTAGCTGCACTTGAAACCTGGAGTTATCGGCCCACATTTGTGGTCAGACCCACACAGATTTTTTTTGCATCTTCACCTCTCCCCCCCCCCCCTCCAAGTAACCTGACTCTCTGCCCACACAATGACTGCCAGTTTAGCAAATTACAGCAACAAGACCATCTGATCCCTGCTACCCGCTGACAGAACTCACAAAGCGATAGCTTATCGGTAACCCAGGCCCTCCGAGGGGGGAGAGGGGTGTTTCGATTCAGGCTCAGCAGTAGTGGGATGCTGTTACCAGCTCCTTGTCTGGTTGTGGTATCATGTTTGGAAAAAAAAACGACACAAGAATGGGAAAGAACAAATCACCAAACTGATCTGGGTCCTGAGTGCTTTTGGGCAAGCCGTGGCTACTGAGACTGAAGTTCTTTGACCGTTGAGATGTTACTGAGAGTGCTTCAGAGTTGTCTTTTTTTTTAAACTTGCATGCCAGTTAATTGGAAACTGAAGGAGTCAAATTTCAAGAGGTAGCGTTAAGGTTTTAGTGATGAGAAGTTTTTTCAAAGGCTATCGTAAAATGCTCTATCAAGTGAGTTTGATGATAAGTTTTGATACGCTGTGTGTGTCTGCTCAGGCCTACATTAATTGAAATTCTGTACGTTAACTGAAATTTTGCTTGTAACACGTAGGTTGTCATGTGGTGTCAATACCGGTAGCTCAACATCCCAACTTCATAATCAGGACCATGGGCCAAGCCATACCTACCCCCAACCCCAACCCACCCCAACCCCACCCCCACTCCCACTCCCCCCCCCCTTCAAAATGTGGCAATGGCCTCCATTAACCTCCTTCATTTTCTGATGATTTCACAGAATGAAGGGTTGTGATGGCCTACTTTCCGCAACCCCAATGGGATTAGCATTGTATCCAATCCCCATCTATATTTTGGCAGTGAATGATGGAATTACCCGGAGACAAGTTTGTCTTGACAAGTGACACCTGCAGACACATTTTATATAATATTCCTGGGCTTGCCACTTCCATTTCTTCCTTATATGACAGAATGCATTGAATACAAACATTATAACGACTTTTTTGATGTACATGTTTGAGGACAGTTGACAAACATCAAAAATGCATTGTTGGTGTACATGTTTGAGAATGATTTGATAAAATGGAAGACTCCATCTGCCATCTTAGACAATCCGCCATCTTGGGAAAGACAAAAACAAAAGGGCCCCATCCTTCCTTT